TCGGCGTGGCTAAAGCAAATAACGGATGAGATACTCCAATTAGAGAATGTAGCCACCCCCTCACAAGACCTAATGAAAAAATGTTTATTACTTCAAAACTGAATTTAATACTTTGTCCACTCAGCAGGTACAGTATTTAATCTGTAAATCTAGACCGGGTTATTACGAACACGGTGAAAGAGCTGGACGCCTGCTTGCACATCAGTTGTGGCAACAGTCAGCCAACCAAACTATTACAGCACTAAACAACAGGGAGCTGCATGCCACCATAACGTTGAAATTAATACAGGTTTTAATCCATTTTACCAGTCGTATACGACTGAGTCATTAGTTAACAAACTCTGCAAACAACAATATGCAAAGTGGGAAATCCCCTGCACCAGATGACTTCCCATCTTCTATGTTCTTTGTTGTATATGCTGGTGAAGATTCTTAGTCATCCAGGACACGATGAATTCAAAAAGTGTTCAATACAAAATCAACTGGACTTTATTTGTAACAGAAGACGTTTCACTCCTCATCATCAGAGGAGCTTTTTCAGTTCAATGAGCAGTGAGAGATTCAGGTTATAAGGCTGAGTGAGATAAGACACACACACACATATGTAGATTTGACAAGTCACACCTCAACACCTTAACAGTAGGGGTTTCTTAAGGTCTTTGTTCCTCTAATTCACAGACAAGGCCCCTCTGTTAAGAGACGGCTTTTCTCTTTTTACATAAATTGCTTAAAAAGAGAAAAGCCGTCTCTTAACAGAGGAGGCCTCAGATTTCCACTTTCAAAAACCTATAATGCAACTTTAAAACAGATTCCCATCCAGTTTTTACATTTGATGGGAACAGAGGGGCCTCGTCTGTGAATTAGAGGAACAAAGACCTTAAGAAACCCCTACTGTTAAGGTGTTGAGGTGTGACTTGTCAAATCTACATACAGGTCCTTCTCAAAAAATGAGCATATCATGAAAAGGTTCTCTAAACAACTATTAACCTAACCATCTGAATCAACGACGTAACTCTAAACACCTGCAAAAGATTCCTGAGGCTTTTAAAAACTCCCAGCCTTGTTCATTACTCAAAACCACAATCATGGGTAAGACTGCCGACCTGACTGCTGTCCAGAAGGCCATCATTGACACCCTCAAGCAAGAGGGTAAGACACAGAAAGAAATTGCTGAAGGAATAGGCTGTTCCCAGAGTGCTGTATCAAGGCACCTCAGTGGGAAGTCTGTGGGAAGGGAAAAGTGTGGCAGAAAACGCTGCACAACAAGAAGAGGTGACCGGACCCTGAGGAGGATTGTGGAGAAGGGCCGATTCCAGACCTTGGGGGACCTGCGGAAGCAGTGGACTGAGTCTGGAGTAGAAACATCCAGAGCCACCGTGCACAGGTGTGTGCAGGAAATGGGCTACAGGTGCCGCATTCCCCAGGTCAAGCCACTTTTGAACAAGAGACAGCGTCAGAAGCATCTCGCCTGGGACTGCTGCTGAGTGGTCCAAAGTACTTTTTTCGGATGAAAGAAAATTTTGCATGTCATTCAGAAATCAAGGTGCCAGAGTCTGGAGGAAGACTGGGGAGAAGGAAATGCCAACATGCCAGAAGTCCAGTGTGAAGCACCCACAGTCAGTGATGGTCTGGGGTGTCATGTCATCTGCTGGTGTTGGTCCTCTGTGTTTTATCAAG